CTGTGAACTTTTCAAAGTCAAACTGAAATAAAGAATTTTTTTCTAACATAAATGCACCAGTAAAAGTGTGAAATAGGTGTGCAAGCACAGAATATGCTCAAAATATAAGAGAATATGCTAAAATAAATGTTTAACTCTGGGAAGATACATGAGTTATGATACTTAGTTTGAGCTGTAGTACTTTGCTGTACTGTTTCTGATTTGGTTGGTTTTTCCTCTTGCTGTATTTATGAAGATGAACTGGTGTCAAAATGATGCTATGACAAATAGACCAGGATTATTTTCACAGAAGAGAAGTCCTGAGGGCAAATTTGAGGAAAAAATAGTAAAGCTTTTTTTCTTTCTTTTTCTTTTTTTTTTTTTTTTTTTTATTAATTTTTAATTTTTTTTTTTTTAAGTGGGATGTCAAAAACTGTTTCCAGGTTAAGCATGCTGTTGTCCTGCTAAAACCACGACAACACTGTGACTCAACAATTACTTATTTTACTCTACAGCACTATCATAGTTGAAATAACTCTTTACTATGTTGAAACATATCTGGATTTTCTTCACTTTACTCTCAACAACACCAACACCGTGAATTTAACACTTTTGAATTTGCATTGTACATCCAAATGTACAACGAGGAAAACATGGAACCCTCAAACCATAAAGCCCCATATTCAAATGTCAAATATGCAGCTAACACAGCTTGGAAACACAAATGCTGATGCAAATAAGGAGGACGTGCATACCAGAGAATTTAGTTTAAAGGAAATGCTTTGTTTATTTCACACTGGATCTGATTTAAATGTGCATGCAGTTGGGAAATGTGCAAGAGGATAAATAAGCATGCCATCAAAGGATCTCCTGCACCAAGTATAGCTGTCCTCCACAAAGAACCTGTGTGTGGCACTGAGCAGATGGAGAGGAGCATGGCGCTTCATGTGGAATTCATGTGGACACTATGCTGGAGTTGAGTGGCCTTGTAGGGGCTAGAATTTAAAAAAAAAAAAAAAGTATGCTTTCCTAGACATTTGATATCAAAGAACATAGTAATTCAGAACAGCAGGCTGATTTGACTATGGGTAAATCTTGAGTTTCCAACCCTGCAACCATGGCCAGCTGTATGAACGTACTCTGGGAGAAAGAACTACAGATGGACCTGTATTGTTGTATATGTCAATCCGCCATTACATTTAAAATGAGACACCTTGGTAGCTTCAGGAGTTCAGGTTTGCCACTTCATACCAAGAACTGCACACTGGAGGTAAGTTGAGGTAGGTGTATTTTACTAATCACCCGTGAAATTCATGCTTTGTATTTGATCCATCCTTCACCCATTTTGTCTGTGTACACTGCGAGGGAACCCATCTCCAGACCATGTGCTTGCTCCAGACAACCTTGCTGGAAGATTTGACCTAAACTGCATGATCTGAGTTGAACTTCAGCCAGGTTTGCCCCAAAGACCCAGAGGTGATTTAATTGTTATAAATCCTGAAATATACTAGCCACTGTTAAGTACTGTTAAGATATAAAAATGACCAGTCTTTAAGAAACTGCTAAGCAAAAGTATACTATTATTTAGCTAAAATATTAGTCTTTTTTTAATACTGCTCAACTAAACATTGCTTATTAGTTCATTATGTAACCTATGTACAGTCCCTGACAAAAGTCTTGTCGCTTATCCATTTTGTAGAAACAAAAGCTTATAACCTGACTTTAAATTAATCAATTGGTTTAAAAATGTCTCATATGAAAGCTAAAACCCTCCCAAATTATGCTCAATAAACTAAAATAAATTTACTTCACTGAAGAAAGATTGATCATTTGATGAACACAGAAAGGTCAGATTTTGGCAAGACAAAAGTCTTGTCGCCTACAGAAAATTGAACAAATAATTTACTTCAAATACAAAAATATGTTGCATAACATCAGTGAATTAAGTAGTGGTGCTGTGAGATCCATATTTAATATCTTGTATGACTTCCATGAGCTTGAAGGACTGCATCCATGCGGTTCGACAATGATTCATACAATTTGTTGGTGAAGTCATCAGGAATAGCAAAGAAAACAGTCTTACATGCCTCCCAGAGTTCATCAAGATTCTTTGGTTTTGCCTTCCATGCTTCCTCTTTCATTCTACCCCAGACATGCTCAATGATGTTCATGTCTGGTGACTGGGCTGGCCAGTCCTGGAGCACCTTGATCTTCTTTGCCTTGAGAAGCTTTGATGTTGAGATAGAATTATGCGATGGAGCACCATCCTGCTGCAAAATTTGACCCCTTTTATGGTTGGGAATGTAAGAGGTAGCTAATACTTCTTGATATTTTAGGCAATTGATATTGCTTTCCACCCTGCAAATGTCTCGCACACTCCCATAATGGATGTAACCCCAGACCAGGATTTTTCCGCCACCAAACTTAACTGTTTTCTGGGTGAATCTTGGATCCATGCTGGCTCCAGTAGGTCTCCTGCAATATTTGCGGTGGCTGTGATGTAATTCAACCAAGGATTCATATGAGAAATCCACCTTCTGCCACTTTTCCAGTGTCCATCCTTTTAGCAGGCTGTGGGCCTTGGCAAATGTCACACGGTTTTTAAATTGCCTTTTGTTTAGTGCTGGTTTCTGTGCACTGATTCGACCATGGAGGCCATTTTGAGACATAATTCTACAAACTGTTCTGGTTGACACAGGGACTTGAGGTGACCAGGCCTGGTGGAGCTCTGCTGCAGTGGAAAAGGGGCTGGCCTTGGATTTTTGAATCAACGGTCCTCCCGAGCAGTTGTCTTGCGGGGTCTGCCGGACCTGGGCTTGTCAAAAACATCTCCAGTCATTTCAGATCTTTTTCTTATTCTTTGTACTTGAAGCTGAGACACATTGAAGGTGTCACCACCTCAGCAGTGGATCTGGTCTTCAGCTTCTTGATAATTAACACTTTAGTCTCAGGGTGGATCTTAGGCATGTTGTCAGAGGTCAAGTTGCAGTTGATGTGAAGGTCTGGTGTGCTGGGGTTCTTTTTATACACACCCACTAATTGATTGATCAGTAACTGATCACAGGTGAGGCTGTAATCTAGGATTGGGTGCATCATATGACAAGGCGACAAGACTTTTGTCTTGCCAAAATCTGACCTTTCTGTGTTCATTAAATGATCAATCTTTCTTCAGTGAAGCAAATTTATTTTAGTATATTGAGCATAATTTGGGAGGGTTTTAGCTTTCATATGAGACATTTCTAAAACCAATCGATTAATTTAAAGTCAGATTATAAGCTTTTGTTTCTACAAAATGGATACGCGACAAGACTTTTGTCAGGGACTGTACACTTAATGTCTCGCCACTGACAGACTGAAAATCATCTGTGAAAACTTTAGCAGATGTTAGATGATTTATCTGATGTTACCAACCCTTGAGTTTTGAGGTTTTATGGTGGCCTCTAACCCAAACAATTTAATTCTAACCCTTCTGTTTGATTTTTAATTTTGAATGTTTATTTTTAACACAAATATGTAACTGACCCTTTTGTTTTTTCAGGTTTTGAGTGGTGTCTAACCTTAACATGCTAATCTTACTCTTTTTATAGGTATCTCTATGATATTTATTTAGTACTGCTATATAAGATTAAAAATTGCTGACAAGTGTAAAATTATCCTATACCTCTATTTGAAGTCAAAAAACCATAAAAGGACCCAGGAACATAAAAACCTCAGGAGTCAAACTAATCAAGAATGGAACATTTTCTATCAGAGGCTATAGCTCCAAATGTGGAATGAATAAGAAAATCGTTAGCAAAGGAAGAACTTCAATTCTGACAACTGGAACAGTGAACAAATACATTGGTGGGTCAGTTTCAGAGTAGTTAGCTCCTCCCTTCAGGCAAATATATGGCCATGTCCACCAGCAATCTGAGCAGAAATGAAGAAGCAGCTTGGATGGCCTTCGAAAGGTATTCTATCAAAAAAAAAAAAAAAGAACTGTTCTCCAGACAGTATTAAAATTCTCCTTTGCTATGGCTCCTACGTGAATGACTGAGAGATTAAACAAACATTTAGAATGAGAGAATTGCTATAACATTGGGTAAATTCAGTTTTTGTACCCATTTTAAAGAAAGAATACACCTCAAAGTGCATCAATTACAGCAGCATTATGCCATTATTTATACTAAATCAGAACTGGCTTTTGGGATGGATGAGAAGCATGACTTTCTAAAGGAAAGCTAGCTGTTCATTTTAACCTTTAACCAATTTGAAATATGTTGACATTTCTATTTCCTATATTTTTTATTTTCTAACATGGTGTCAACTTAACACAAGGTTAAATCTGATACTAATGTTGTGGGCCAATATTTCTATTTTTTTAGCAGGTCAGAGTTATAGAATTATCTCTAGGTATGTCACATCTCCTGCCTGTCTCCAACCAGAAAGTAAAGTAAGTAGAAATCTTAAATATAATAATTTTAACTATGTTTTACTGAAAGCAGTTGTCCATCCTGTCATATTCTTTTAACTGTGGGCTAGATTTGAATCATCCCTGTCGAATGTTGACCGTACTAACTCTAATATTTTTTTATCTTTCAGCTTTAATAAGTAATTTTTACAGGTTTAGTTCAGTCAATCATTAATGTAATGCCTCCTAACGCTACAATAAAAATGACGTCTGTAAACTACTAAAGCGGATACTGGAATGTGTCCTATAAGTTTAAAATGTGTGTAGAATAATAAAAAAAAAATCTAATCTCTTGGCTATATATCCACTGATAGGGTACTGTACTTCTGCTGTACATTTGATTTAAATTCCACAGAGAGAAACCCAACTACTTAGCTCCTCATTTCACCCAGAGCGGTGGCGCCATCTTCAGGAGAACGTCAGGTGCAACGTCACAAAGTTAACAAGCACATATTAAAACCAGATCGGTATCATACACCTCCACCAGCAGCAGCAGCAGTCATGTATCACATTTTTATATAGATCATAATTTTAGGTCAGACATAGTTTTGATGCAGACAGTGAGCCTATGCCAGATGTCCTTGTTTATTTGTTGCAATATAAGTCGACAGTTTTATTTTAATATTCAGCTTTTGTCCAAATACTGATAAGAAAGAAGTGGTTCCCTCATCAACATCACAGTAGGCACAAGCAAAATCACCTGTGGAAACAGAAAATAATATTACAACTTCCTCCTGAAAGCATAAGTGGAGGATTTCAGAAAGATGAAGTAGAGAAAGAAGACAGTTAGTTTATACAGTTAGTTTATGAACCTACCAGCACTAGAAAAACCACCGCAAACATCCACATAACAGTATCCAGAAGGAATTGAAAGAACACTTTTAGCTTTACTTTGCAGCCCTAAAACAAAAATAGCTGGATTTACAGCAAGTCAAATAAATTCTGAAAAGAAATAATTTGTGTAGGCCTATACAAGGACTATGAAAAGCCACAACCAGATGGTAAAAATATTTTAAAATTAAATAAAAATAAGATACTCCACCGTAAAGTGCACCTTTATGTATCATTTTTCTGTCTATGATAAATATTATTTGGGGCCTACCGTTTGGTAAAAGTGATCAGGCTGAAGCACAGTGCCATTGCATGAGGTGAAGATTTGATTGCAGCAGCTCAGGGGGAGGATGTGACCCCCATTATGAATAAACCAGGAAGTGTCCCTCCAATCCGTGTAGTTCTGAACACCACAGCACTGCATCTGAATCACACACACACTTTATTACAGTTTATGGAACAGAAAGAGATCCATTATAACCATTGTTTACTCTAATTTACAAATTTTTAGTAAAAATAGACCAAAAAAATATATATATCTTTGATTCTAAAAGGTATTGTTTTGTAGCAGAACAACCAACATGAAGAAAGTAACCAAATGATTTATATGAGATGTATTCAGTCCTAATGTTTATATTTGCCAGTAATTGTCAGTAATAATAATTGTCAGTGCAATGATGTGCAAAACTGTGGTATGCTAAATTAAAGTGTACCTTTTCCTGTAAAGCGTCCACAGTCCGTGAATCCTGGTCGTAGCTGTTTCCTGTGTAGTTCTTGAACACGTCACTGAGAGGATCTAGTTCTGAATCCAGCTGAGATCAGAAGGTCACATTTCAAGTTCAAAGTATCAAAACACCTATCTAATACCAGGTCTCTGATTTATAGTATTTGTACCATAACTGTGTGGTGAAAGGTCAGTGCTGAAGCTGTACTTCCCAGGCAGAAAACAACAAAAAGAAGATAAACAAACTGCAAAAAACACATTGTTTGGTTTAGAATATGCATAATTTTGATAATAGGTACTTCAGTGGTCTTTCTTCATATTGCTTTATTTTTTTTAAAGGTGGAGGATATAGCTACACCATGCACTTGTCTATAGAGCCACTGAGCCAAGTTGCAGGCCAGATCTGTGGAGAGGCAACCCTGTCCACAGCAATACTTGTTTTTGAAGGTATTTTGAACAATTAAAACCATCAGAAATTAAATGATGCTATATGAAGAAGTTCAATGCCATACTGTGGAACATTCCAAGAAACATCTCTATGGAATCAAGCAGATGGCAAACCCCCTCCAGAAAAGTTACGCAGTGAAACTTTTAGCCATATTTGTTAATGCAGTGGAGTAAGAAAATTGCACAAAAACTGGTAATAATCTGAAACAATTACCTTGAAATAAGTGATGATAATGGAAGGCAGTACTACAGTCAAAACGCAAAATCTTGAAACGCATGCTTAAAGTAAAGGGCCTTTGTGTAACTTTTCTGTTTCCCCTGAAAAAAGCAGGTGGCATACTCCCCACCAGAAAATGTACATAGTACACTTTTAAGTAAATTCTAACAATATGTGTTTTTTCCTTTTCTGTTTAGGCATCATGTGGTCCCAGACTTACCAGTCCTTGCAGACATACTGAATCCTTGGTGCTGACCCAGGACCCCAGGAACCCACCGACCAGTAGGAACACAGCGGTGGCGAAAGTGAAGAAGAACGGCAGCATCATGTACGACGAGGGGGAGAAGAAGGTTGCACTGCTCTGTCTGAACATCATGAACAGGTAGAGTCCAGCCAGGCCCACCATCATTCCCACCAGCTGACAAAGAACATAGCTACAGTCAATAGTGACACATATTAAGACTTGACAGAGACCAACCTCCAACATATCTTTACATTTTTATAACTGATTAAATGGTAATTAAAGTGCACTGTGCAACATTTCTATCTTGCATTTATGTATTTACATTTTACATATTTATTTATTAAGGAAACCTGGTAGTCTCTAGATGCATTCATTGCCATGCTGTGGAACATTCCAGCCAATGCAATAACATCTCCCTGGAGACAACTATGTAACCCAAATGTTACATAATGCACCTATACCAAACCAAAACCAAAGCTTTTTTTGTTAGGATATACAGGAAGTTGTTTCTTCTTTTTAAATTTTCTATATTACCTTGTTGCCCACCTCTGGTCAAAGTTACATTTGACCAACCAGCTTTATTACTCAGTAACTTAACTATCGTAAAGAGAGACTTTTTAAGACGTAAACATGGCGCTATTGAAAGCTTGTGCAACTTGAGAGACAGCTGGTATTTTCATGCTTCTTGCCCTTAATTCTGTAGGTTCTCTGTAGGCATTAAAAATATTATTAGTAGTACATGAAAACATTATTATTATCAGCATAGAAACAAAATTGAACGTCTGTAGAATTACCACAATATAAAAATCTAACTGTATGATCTGTTTTTCATACCTCAGCATATTTTTTGACATTTTTTTAGTTTGTTTTTTTGAGATGACCATGTGGTTCAGTACTAGTTCTGCTATAGATCAACACCATATTTATATTTGACAACTGTAACTATACAATTTTCTTGTTTATTGTTAATGAAAAAGAAATCTTATAAAAGCACAGAAGAAGTGAGAACTTCAGGGGATCTTAGTTCAAAGTCTAGAACAGGTGCTCCTCAAGGACAAGGTGCAAAAGCTAAGTGAACTAGTGAAGATCATCAAGCTTGTAGTATAAAAACTTTTTCTGATAGCGTAAAAAGTGGCCAAAAAAGGCACTCTGTTGAAATCATAATAAAAGTCAACTGATAATTTTGTGGGACATTGTTTGGCATTACTGTGTTGATTTATTTGTCGCTGAAGCAAATGATCTGATATTAAAATATAAGAAGAAAAAGCCTACTCACCCATAGAAACTGGCTCAAGCACTGTAGAGCTGTTTTTAAAGTTTTCCGTCTCTCTTCGTTCATGTTGTTTTTTTAGAAATCCACAGTGAAAATACACTTCTTCTTCTTTTTTTTCTTCTTCTTCTTCTTCTACACAAGCACAATTATATAGTCATAAACCCAAAAATGCACATGACTCCATAACACTAAGCAATGGACTTCCTTTAAAAAAAACAGGAACAACTTTACTGTAGTCTGTAATACAAACATTCAAAGAAACCTAAACTTAAGTGGAGTTCTACAGCCTTCTTGATGAACCATTAGTCATGCAAAAAGAAAAAGAAAAAGAAAAAAGCTTCCTTTATTGTCAAGTGGAGCTTTGACAGTAAAGGAAGCTGTTAACACAGATAATCGTTCACCCACCCCTGCAGCTGAGTCATGAGGGTCCGAGGAGACTGGGTCACTGATCTACTGGAGACAGAGCCTGGAAACAAAATTACATAATAGATCTTTTTTTATATATTTTACAAATACATAAAATATAATAATTAAAATATAGTCCTGGCTTTGACTTTGACTTTGACCTGATCAAGTAAATCTCTGTACTTGATCAGGACAAGTAAACCAGTGCCTTACCCATAAAAATGAGGAACACTGCAGCCAACAGCCAAGTCCCCACAGTGTTCATGATGACGAGCTCAGAGTGAATGAAGTGCACACACTGCTCCTGCTGTTTATAACTGAACAGAGCTGAGGCCAGTGAAGCAGAACCCACACAGACGAGCACCTCCAACACACGTGACCCACACTGACACTTCAAGACACACTGGGAAAACACTTGAGACCTGCTTTAGACCTGGTGTAGTGCTGGTTTAGTCTTGGTTGTCTTGGTGTAGACCTGCTTTAGTCCTGGTTTAGACCTGATTTAGACCTGGTTTAGACACAATTTAGTCCTGCTTTAATTACGATTTAGTTCTGGTTTAGACCTGGTGGTTTAGACCTGGTTTGAGCTGGTTTAGCTCTGGTTTAGTCCTGATTTAGACCTAATTTAGGCCTGGTTTAGTCTTAGTTAACCAAATCAGACCAAGTTACAGGTCAGATCTGTGGAGAGGCAACCCCTTTCGCAGTCAGTTTTTCTAGGTATATTTGAGCTATAAAACTACTTGTAATTTTGTAAATGTAAGGTAGATCTGTTTAATGTCACACTGTGGAACACTCCAGGCAAAGCAATGATATCTCCATCAAAACAAGCAGGTGACGGACCCCAACAAAAAAGTTACATAATGCACCTTTAAATTCTTTCTTTTAGACCTGCTTTAGACCCGCTTTACACCTGGTGTAATGCTGGTTTAGATTTGGTTTATACCTGGTTTAGTCCTGGGTTAGTCCTGTTTTAGTCCTGGTTTAGTTTTGCTTTAGACCTGGTTTAATCTGGGTTTAAACCTGGTTTAGTCCTTTTTTAGAACTGGTTTAGACTTGGTTTATTTCTACTTTAGACCTGGTTTAATCCTGATTTAGACCTGGTTTAATCCTGGTTTAGACCTGGTTTAGTCCTGGTTATTGTTCAATACAAAAGTCCAACATAAATTGAAAATATCAAAGATCTTCATGGTACAAATGCCCATAACATCAGTATGAACTTGCTGTCCTCTAGTGGTGCATTCAAAAGTTACAATATTTAGAAGAAACAATTCAAATTTAAGACACTGCAGAGAAATAAAAAACTTTTATTTGTGTCATTGCACTTTAGTTACTGTACAAATTCCTCATAGAAATCACTGAATGCATGTTGTTGTTGTAGCAGCCAAAGAAAGAGACAGTCCACATAATGCAAAGATTTCAACTGTTGAACTGACCGTGGCTTAAATACTTGGATGTGTCTTGGAATTTCAAAAACAGTTCCTGGTATACATTGCACAAAACTTCAACAGAAGATCCAGAAAATGTTGACAGAGAGAGCTGTTTTTGCTACTTACAAATATTAAAAAAGGTAAATATATATAAAATCTGTTTCCATTACAAAAAAAATACAAATAAAAATCTCCTTAAAGGTGCATTGTGTAACTTTTCTACTTTTCTGGTAGAGTCCGCCACTGTGTTTTCTCCATGGAGATGCTATTCCTTTTGTCTAGAATGTTTCACAGTATGGTGTTAAACCTTTCTATCTTCATGGAGACCAAACTAGACCCGCTCATAGTCAGAATGCCTGTATTTCTAGGTATTTTTGAGCTATAAAACCACCTGTAATTGAATACATGTAAGGTAGATCTATTTAATGTCATACTGTGGAACATTCGATACAAAGCAATGACATACCCATAGAAACAAGCCGGTGACGGACCCCCAACTGAAAAGTTACACAGAGCACCTTTAAAATAAAATTAAAAAGACACAATATTTTCATTGGTCACATGCAGTTTTTGAAAGTCTGGCAAGGAGACAAGAAGAATGTAGTATTTCAAATGTACATGCATAAAAGAGCCTGAAGGTGGCAGTATTGGTCTAGTACTGACAGTAACACATAGGGCCGCCACTAATTAGAAAATGATTTGTAAATTCAGCTGCTATAATAAAAGAAAAATATCACTAATTTGGCTGTATTGTGTAAACTGGTCACTTAAAGATGCACTGTGTAACTGTTTCGGTGGAGGGTCTGCCACCTATACTTGTCTCTATGGTGATGTTATTGCTTTGCCAAGAGCCTCGTAGAAATTTCTGTGTTCATGGAGACAAGCAGATGATACAACCAGGCCATATTATAGATCAGATCTATGGAGAGGCTACCCCACACAGAATTTTTCAAGGTATTTAGACAGATTGATCTAATGCCATACTGTGAAATGCTGCTGGCTAAGAAATACTATCTCAGTGAACACTTCCCCTATCAGAAGTTACACAGTGCATTTTTAAAGAAGTGTCAGTATGTCAGATAGTTTACAGTATTTGAAAGCTCAATGAGTCTAAATGAAGAGCAATGGTCTTGTAAATCTTCAAAATTTCTGATGATAAATTAGTTTGAATTTTGATAGTTTTATTTAACTCCACATGGACATAGGGTGCAGTCTTGAAGACGCTGTGATCCACTCGGCAACTCCACAAATGTCTCTTTTTGGCATGATAAAGAACTAACAGTCTTCTTCAAAAGACCATGATAGCACCATTGTAAACTTAAATAAACTTAAAACCTTTCAGAGATGATTGTTGATGAGGAATATTGATTCATTGAAAAGAAAATCTGGATTTGCAAAAAAAAAAAAAAAAAGAAAAAAAGTTAATATTTAAAGGGCCCATTTTACGCTAGTTTCGGATTTTAATCTTTTACATACCTGGAGTTGTGTTTTGTTTCATTCACACATGTTTAATACACAAGGCAAATTTAGGCTGAGTTCTTCTCTCAAACTGAAAACGCTCTGTTCCACCTTCTGATGTCATGTGGTAATAGAGGAAGCGCTCCCCTGTATTTTAAACTTCACACACCTTCACTAGAATCATTTGGATAATTTAAGACCTGGAATTTCCATTCTATACTGAACAAAAGGTAAAAGGTAGCTGTTAACTTCATGACATCAGAAAGAGGAACAGAGTATTTTGAACTTGGAGATATAAACAAACTAATAATAATAAAGGGTTACTCAAACAACTCCAGGTATGTTTCTGATGAGAAAAAAATATTATAACATAGATCAGAAAATAGTGTAGTATGGGCCCTTTAAGTTGTATGTGCGTTAACCAACAATCTCTGAGATGTTTTTAAAGGCCCAGGCAAAATGGAAAAAGAAAAGGATAAAAAAGTCATCATCTGGATTAGATTTTTGAGAGGAAGAAATGTGTGCAACAACTGTCCAAAATGCAAAAATAAACTAAAAATTGGAGTGAAGGTTTGAGTCCTTTTTAGGGCTGTGTTTTTAGCGGTTGCTCCTCATGGCTTCTTTAGCAGCCAGGATGAGTGGAGTGAGGCTGGACAGAGGCTTGGCCAACTTCAGGAATGGATGCTGCAGAGAAGATATAGAGGAAATGATCAAATTATTAACCAAATAAAAGTAACAATATATAGGTCAAACACAATTATAAGGTTAGAAATATATATTTGTAAAGTAAGAGAAATTGGAATATAAGCAAGTTCATTGGTGGTTCTCAAATTATAGAATCTGAGGATGCCATACTCCCAGATGGGGTCCAGAGCCAGATTCATTATTGAATTTACATGTAATCAGTCAGGTTCACCGATGCTGAAACTGTTCAGTTATCATTATTTTTTAACATAAATGTAAATTTAACTAAATCAATTTTAATTGCAACATCTGTATTCAGTATTATTGGTCTATAGAATGCTAAAGAGACAAAATGTTAAAATGCAGATTGTACACCTGTAATATAGGAGGTTTTTGGGTCCAGTCACTAATAGAATGATCACATCACAATATTTCTTGTTAGATATTAAAATACCATGTAATAAATAGGGAAATGTGAGAGTAAATCCAAATCTGCTCTATTTCCATAGCACATTAATATAAACAAAACAGCTTCCAAAGTGCTGCACATGTAAAGATAACAATAAAAGCAACAGAAGGTATAAATGCTTAAGAGTATAACTTCACATCACATTCTAGTATCTGAAAACTTCTAACAATTATTATTACCACAGACATTTATTCTATGCTTCTTTACTATTGTGCAATTCAGTGATACATTCAATACATGAGTGTGGGCTCTGTTAAAAGTTCCTGTCCTGTAGTTCTCACACACCTGTCATCATTCTGGTTATCACTATAATTTTCCTTGTTTTGCTTTAGGTCTGAGGATGGAGTTGTAAATGTACCTGCAGTAGTTCTCTCCCAGACCCCCTCTTGTCCACGTCCATCTCAAGGCAGCGGGACAGGAACGATCTGAACACAGGGGACAGCTTCTCTGGACTCTGGAGCTCAGGGGTCCCATTGGTGGCAATAAGATACAACGCCTAAGAAGAGGGAGAGATGACAGAGTAAGTATACGCATATAGTGTGTACTTACTTAAAGGTGCACCATGTAACTTTTTGGTTGGGGGTCTGTCATCTACTTGTTTCTATGGATATGTCATTGCTCTGTCTGAAATAATCCGAAATATGACTTTAAACAGCTTTATCTTAGATTTATTCAATTAGAGGTGCTTTTATAGCTCAAAAATACCAAGAAAAATAGGTTGACTATGAGCGGGGTCGTCCCTCCACAACCTGACCTATAACTTGGTCTGGTTTGGTCTCTATGAAGATAGAAAGGTCTAATACCAGACTGTGGAACATTCCAGACATCAAATAAATAAATAAATAAATAAATAACATCTCTAGGAAGAAAATAATTTGACAGACCTCCACCAGAAAAGTTACACAATGCACCTTTAATGTATTGATAATAGATAAATGGTGTTGTGTTCATTTGACTGAGTGATTTTGAAATCAATACAGTAATTATTAGGAAGCTTATTAACCACTGAATTTGAACACATAAACTGAGACAAAGGTTTGCACAATTTTGAATATATATATATATATATATATATATATATATATATATATATACACACACACACACACACACAAACACACATATTATTATATATATATAGTATTCTATAGGCAGAGACATGGCATCTTCTTAAAGGTGTGCTGCGCAACTTTTCTGGTGGAGGGTCCACAACCTATTTGTCTCCCAGGAGATGTAATTGCTATGCCTGGAATGTTCCATGGTATGACATTAAACATATCCATGCAGTATTTATTCATTATGGCTGTTTCTATTGCTCAAAAATATAATAATTCCTTCTCTGAATAGGGGCGACTCTCCACAGATCTGAACTGTAATGTAGCATATTGCTGTAGCCTGCTTGTCTCCCTTGTAATAGACATGTTTAATCTATACTGTGGAACATTCTAGACAAAGCCATAACATTTTCATGCAGACAAGCAGGTGACAGAGCCTCCACTAGAAATGTTACGCAGAGCACCTTTAAGGGCTTAGCTTTTTCACTCATTTGGATTTAGTCAAGATTCAGGTAGTAGTGAGTAATAATGAGTAAAATAAAAATCACTGAGGATTTAAGGATGGTGGGGTTGCCGTTTTCAACATCACCACCAGATGTCAGCAAAGGACCACACTCTAATAAACTCTATTTAAAACCTTCACTTACTCTGAGGGGGTTTTCATTGAGATATGGGGGCTCTCCTTCCACCATCTCTATGGCCATGATCCCCAGAGACCAGATGTCCACTTTGGGTCCATAGGCTTTTCTGGTAACCACTTCAGGGGCCATCCAATAGGGGGTGCCCACCATGGTGCTACGTTTGCTCTGCTCTGGAGTGATCTGAGCGCAGAAGCCAAAATCAGCTGCAGAGAAAAAAAAAGTATTTATTTAGTATTAGTAATTTAGTTATAGTAGTAATTTATTATTAAATTTTAGTATTTTCAGAGGATATTAGGGGCACATTCGTACTGGTTTGTGCCTAGTTTCTAGACTTAGTTTGGTCCTATTCTAGTCCAAGTTGGGTCGTGGTCTAGACTAGGCTTAATTATTTAGTCCCAATTTTGATGTGCATGAACACTGAGTATGAACACTCCCTAAATTAAATTACAGGAATAAATATTAGTGATAAAATTATATACAATATATAATTATAGATAGTTTAAATTTGTGTTCATATTTGTCCTGGTTTGATTCTGGTTTGACCCCAGTTTAGTACTATGAGGTAACACTAAATAATGTCCCAAAACTGTAACACTGAAACATGTTTGAATAAAATACTTTATAATAACAGTGATTTTGTATAATACATGTTATCTTACTTAGTTTGACAGATCCGTCCATTCCTAGCAGCACATTGTCACTCTTGATGTCTCTGTGGATTACTTGATTTGCATGAAGAAATTCGAGAGCTTGGAGAACCTACAGAAAACCAGCAAAGATTCAAAACGTTTGAAACTTTTAACCAAACAAATTAAAAACAAAACTATGAACTTACCTCTCGACAAACTGCTGCTATCTGAGCCTCATCCATACACGTTTCAGTTACAACATCAGTGAGTGACCCTCCAGCCAAATACTCCATCACCACAAACAGCTCATCTCCTACAAGGAAACTAAACATGCACAGTTTTTAATGATCTACATTTTGTCTTGTAATTGTGAGAGTAAAAAAAGGAAGTAATTTGTCTATATTGGGGAAATACACTATACACCCATATTACACTATTTTCTGATCTATGTTATAATGTTATTTCCTCATTACGAGTTTTGTTTTGTCTTATTCACACATGTTTAACAAACCCTGCATATTTAGGCTTTAGAGTTCTTCTCTCAAACTGACAACACTCTGTTCCACCTTGAAATGTGGTAATACAAGAAATGTTCCAGAGTATTCCTAAACTCCATACACCTTCACTAGAATCATTTGGATAATTTCAGCCCTGGAATTGCCAGTATTGCCAGTATGGTATGACATCACAAGGTAAAACAGAGCATTTCAAGCTTTGGAGATGTAGGCAGACTAATAATGAATGGTTACTTAAACATGTGTGAATGAAACAAAATACAACTACAGGTATCTTTTTTGACAACGTAACAACATCATAACATGACTAAAAGCTCACAAGAGCCCATTTTTCATAAGACCTTTAATCATTATTTGAAATCTATCTATTTGTTTACTTGATTATCTAATTTTCATGCTAATATGTCATAAATCAGTTTATTTTTGTCAGCCATGATTATCCCAACATACAACATGAGAGCGATATTTTCTATTGTGTTACCTGTCTAAGAAGTTGACAATATTAGGATTCTTCATCTCCTTCATCACCAAAATCTCATTGATAATTAACTCTTTCTTTGGTTGCTTCTGTAAATTGATTTGTTTAATGGCCACCTGTTTAAAAAAAATAGAAGTTTAATACCAATTTGGTTATTTTCATAGTACAAAACTTCCTTCCCAAAACTTGCTTAGACTTACTTCTTGTCCAGTGGCAACATCTATAGCTGTGTAAACTGTGCCAGATGCCCTGAAAGAACATAACGCAATTCATATATGTCATTTTGGGCTCTTTATTCCCATTAGAAATGGACACAAGATGTAATCTACCAAAACATCTGTTATCTACAGTTTGAGGTGTTAGAAAAAATGGTACAATAGCTACTGGATGAACTAAAGGTGCACCATGTAACTTTTCTGGGTTGACACATGATGGCATTTAACTTATCTGTCTTGCATCAGTTCTTATACCTCAAAAAATACCTTGCAAATCCTGTATTCTCCACAGATCTTACCTGTAACTTGGAGTATTCATCTCCTTGTCTCCATAGAGACAGACAAGTTTAATGACATTCTAAGTAATAACATCTCCATGGAGACAAGCAGGTGACGGACCCTCCACCAAAAAATTTACATAGTACACCCTTAAATAATACTTTTAATTTAGTTTTTCTCATCAAATGAAACATAATGTGACTTACCCCTGTCCGATCTTTTCATATCTAGTATATTTCTTCTTAGGATCTCCAATACTGACAATTGTGCCTACAAAAATACAGTGAGTTTCTATTTTCTTTTAAATGTATAAGTTCTCAAACATCGTTACATAAATTTTTCACATACGTAGTTTCTCCATGATCTCCTCGTCTGTCATCTTCCCTCCTTTATTTTTCTTTCTGTCCGTAGCTTTTGATGCTGAATCCTCTGGAGCAGGTATAGGGTCTATTACTGACCTGGTGTACATCTATGAAATATAAGTCACAAAGGAATTAACATGACAGACTGAATGAACAAGTACTTTGAATAAAATAACTGCATGTTAGTATTTCAAATACACAATATGAATTTTGTGATATGCTTAATGGAGGAATACTGGAGGAAAATAATAGCTGAAATATTAAAAGACTATGTTTTTTATTAATCTAAAGCTCTATACTTAAAAACAAGGGCCTGCTGTTAACAGTATTAGACATGTTTCATATTTGCCTTTTAATACATAATTTAATACAGTATAATATACATGCAGTTTAATATTTCAATTATAAAAGAAAATGCCAGCCCTTTGAATCTCAGTGGGACTTTCCTGGTTAAATAAATGTTAAATGAAAATGAAAAATAAAACAAAAATCTGTCATAGACATAAAAGGTGTTAGTTGAGATCTGTCAGAGACTCACAGATTTTGTGTGTTCTGGTCTCGGAGCCACGACTGGAGGAGGAGTATCGTCATCATCGTCGTCGTCTCCATCTTTACCTCCTGTTTTACCGCTGCCCTGTTTCCCAGGCTGGAATACAGTGGCATTTATTCATTCATTAAGTTCACCTTAAGCAAGTTTGTGTATACAAAAACACATAATGAAAAACATCAATAGCTTATGCTGTCATGAATAAATTGAAGTGGTTTCCAGACATTTCCGGAGTACATTGTTGATATTTTGAACATATGCATTATGGTGTACCTACATATTTCTTTTTATGTTAAGGGAATAAACATACTGTATAAGCATTTAGGGCAAAATTCAGTCTGGGATTGAATAGATTTGACTGTGCTTACCGACTGCGTGTCCTTATCTGAAAAAGAAAAGCAAATCGTTGTGTCAGAACCAAAGTATGGGGGTAGATTTTTTTCAGCATGATTTGATACTGATGTATAGACCCATTAAATGTTTGTAAAAAAACCCAAAAACATTCTGAATAAGGCAAAAGTAAAGAGAAATATACTGTAATGTGATTTCAATGAAGGGGTGGTATTAGTCTCTGAATATCCAAAGTATGAAAGATCAAGAGATGTTTGGAAAATCAGTCAGATACATGTAAATTATATCAGAGCCCAGTTTAAAGACATTTACAATTGTATTTTATACAATCTATATTTGTTTTTTAACTGAAAAGTTGACTCTGTCATAGCTTGTCATTGTATTTAAAGGTTTAATACATCCTTCACCACAAATCAAACATTTTATTGTTTAAGAATCAGGAAGTGCAGGTTCACATGCTACCTGTTGTAAGATGGAGATAATCAGGATGCTCGGATTTGGAAAACATTAGATAAGTGAGAAATAACAGTTTAAAATGAACTAGTTCTGTTTTTCACATTTTTGTGGATAATACAAATCAATAAATATCCAGAAGTGGCCCTTAAAACCATTTGCTTATATCCAATTTCAGTCAGTCGTTGAAAATACATTGAGATCTATTTCATTTCACCTCCAGTTGCCTCCATTACGGAATTTCGAACATTTTGATGACACAGCATTCTTGAGGGTGTATTTATTTGAACTGACCAGAGGCGGAGAAACTGAGGTACTTCTGCTTTCCACTAGTCGAGTCGTAGAACTTGAGAATATCGAGGACGGCCTGAGGATTTTGCTTTTGCTCCGATTTGCTGATGTTGGAAGTCTGAAGGAGCCGGGCCCACTGCTCTGGCATTCCCTACGCAAACACAGACAATGACTCAGAAAGGAAAGGCACCCATAGTGAAAAATGCAGCCTAAAGATCACTAAAGCTGAATGAGCCACAAAAGCCATGAATAATGCAGCCAGTGACCACAGTTTAAGTGAAAGCAGCTTGGTTTGGTCTCTGATGAATACTTGGTGATTATCCAGAGATACTATCGAACAGTGAGTGTAGACTTGCTATCACTTTCAATCATCCAAGCAATGTTTACTTAACTTTCACACTTAAAATTATCTTTTATCTTATCTTTGTTAAAATGCTAAACTTGTGATATATTACATATTTTTCAGCCTTTGCCTGGTTTGACCTCACCATACTAACAATATGTACTGTTCTCTTTGTTGCATGTTTGATTAGGGTGTTTCATTGACTGATTAGTAGTAGCTAAAGAGGCCACAGACATAGAATGGAAGCCACATTACTATGATACTGTCCCAGGGCAGTTGCGGCTACAAAAGCGGCTTGAATAAGATGACAGTGATGGGAAGAATATGTTGATTCTTCATTTTCTATATGAAGAAAATGTTAGAGAAAAGTTACAGAAGTCAAAGTCAAAGAAGTTACAGGTCAAATCTGTGGAGAGTCCTCCACTTACAGTCTGAATGCCTGTTCTTCTAGGTATTTCTGAGCTATAAAACCACCTGTAATTGAATAAATATAATGTAGAGCTGTTTAATGTTATACTATGGAACATTTCAGGCAGAGTAGTGACATATTCATAGAAACAAGCAAGTGACGGACCCTCCACCAGAAAAGATACACAATGCACCTGTAATAATTATGTTAATTGACTGAAGAACTAACTTTGTGAACTTCCAATGAAATGCTATGTAAGACCAATACACTGTGAATACGTTTGTGTACATACAGAGAAATGGCCACACACCACAATGAAAAATTCTGTAGAAATATTGCTTAAGCAGAATCAGCCACAAAAGCCATGAATAATGCAGCCAATGGCCACCACTGAAGGGAAAGCAAGGCTGCTTTTGGTCCTGGATGATTTCTTGGTATTTAAAATCAAAAAGTGTAGACATACTATGAGACTGTTTCAGATATTATATTATTACAAAAGTCAAAACTTTTAACTTTGCGATATTTGAGATTTTATCTTGACCTGGATTTACCTCCCTATCAGTTTTCTTGTCCTTGGGCAAGACACTTTCTTGTTTATGTGAATGTGGTATATAGTTGACTATTGGTGAATGGACAAGCAAAAAGCAAAGAATGGCTCTCACATTTCTGTCAGTTTGTCCCAGGGCAGCTGCAGCTATAGAAGTAGTCTGTCATGGTTCATATTTTGTAATGGTTGTAATTTGTGTTTTATTTTGACATTTGTTTTGTCTGCTTGTAGTTCTGAGTTTTACTTCCTGATTGTTTGTTGTTGTTGATTGTTTGCCCCGCCCTAATGTGTCTCACCTGTGTCTCATTCATGTGTGTACATTTATACCCTGTGTTCTCCTCTGCCCTTTGTTGGTCCATTGTCTCTGTCCGAGTTTCTCCGTGTCGCTTGTCATGGCAATTTAGTCTTGAGTTTTGGATTTTTTTGATTTGTCATTAAATATTTTGAAGCAGTCCTGCATTTTGGGTCCTCCCTCTGTTTCCATGTGACGATTACAGCCATTTAAAGATTGAGTTATATAACTTAAAACTTGAAATGTCATGCATGTATTAAATTGTTTAAGGCAACAGCAAAGCAAAGAAAAAAAATTGTCAGTGTTTAGGCTATTGCATAATACAGACAAATAAGATAATGAGTCTGGTCTCTATAAAAACAATGATGGAAGTAAATTTTTAAAAAAGTTTATAATTATGGAACAAAACAAAACAAACAAAAAATAACATATAAATGACTCATTATATGATTTAGTAGTAAAGCAGCCTTATTTACCGTGAATTCCCCAGTCACAGAGTCGAAGCCCACATGGATGGTGTGTTCAAAATCTGACGGAGAGGAGATCTCAGGTCTGTCCTTGTCACGGTCCTTCTTTCTGGCTCCTTTGACAAAAACACAAACAAATTTATCATTAAAAGGCTATTATGAACACTGGTCTGATCAAAACTACTGTAATGTCCTTCACTTCTCTGATAAGATCAATGGAGGAGGTGCAGTTAGTCAAATCTGCATCAAGATTGGGATCCAGTCATTTTTAATAATCAATGATCATCTTGGGGATTTTAAAGGGCCCATATTACACAGTTTTCTGATCTGTGCTATAATGCTGTTTCTTCATCAAAATGTTTTGTTTAACACACAAATCCTGCATATGCTGAGTTCTTTTCTCAAACAGAAAGCACTCTGTTCCACCTTGTGATGTCATGTGGTAATACAGAAAGTGCTATACTGTGTTTTTAAACTCCATACACTTTCACAATAAAAAAAAGATAATTTTAGCCTTGGAATTGCCCGTCTCTACTGAAAAAGAAAAAACTAAAAGGTAGCTATTAACTTGGAAATTGCTGCTTCTTGACATCACAAGGTGGAACAGAGCATTTTGATCTTTGGAGATGTAGACAGACTAATAATAACAGGTGTGTGAATGAAACAAAACACAACTTCAGACATGTTTTTGAGGAGGTAACAGCATTATAATATTGCTTAAAGTTTTGTCACTTTTGAGTAATACAGGACCTTTAAACAGCAAATTTATAGACGAGTGAGTGTAGAACCATATCCTGTGTCCCCAGTTTCGAAATAGCAATGATTGAAAGTAAAAAAGGAAAATGAACGCAGAGGACTGAGAAACACTGCCGATCTCTGAAATATCAACAATCATTTCTGGCAGGTCATGTAAATAAGTCACTGTATTCCTCCCACCTTTTTCAGATGCAAACATAGAGATGATTTTGTTCCTGGACTTTCTCTCCTCAGGCACAGAAGGCAGAGGGCGTGAGTTGTGATTGGCTGACTGAGGGTCCTTGGCTCCTCCTTGGCTGCTCATCCTGACAGGGGGGGCGGGGGGCTTGTCCTCACACACTCCACTGTCACACATCTACACACAGCACACCCTGCACAGACACAAAGAAAGAAAGAAAATTATGATAAATACAAATGCAAAATACATGTCTGTTTGAAAGTAAGTAGGTTTGCATGCGCCCGCTGACTCAAAGGTTGATTCACTGCCTTCTTCTCATAATACAGACTGATATTCATAGATTACATCTATAAATGGACAGGGGGGCATTTTCAGCTCCATCAACTCTGACTCCAGTTAACTTTACATTGAAAAATTGCCACCCCTTTCTCTGTAACTGCTGTGTCGAGCCTCATCATACTGGTCTTAAAATGTTCGTCTTAACCCACTCTGGTGTTTTTATTTCACTGTTTTGCCCGTAAATAAATTTCTATGCCTAATATGTAACTTGGCTCCAAATTCACGCCTATAACTGCAAGCCTCTGTGAGCTTCATTTGACTGGAGCTAAACGCTATGGGTGATGCCATACTCCCTTAGTCCACGTCTTTATACAGTCTTTGGTATGCTTGTGTCAGTCAATCAGTCAAGCTTTATTTCAGACTCCAATGGGTCCATATAGAACATTTAAAAACAGACAGAAGAGAAGCAAAACGGTAATAATGGTGTATAATCCATATAAGCAGTTCCTCCAATGACTCCAGAGTTCAAAAGTGTACCTGACACTGCTCTGCTCGGGTATTAAATATTTTTTTATAATTTCATTTTGTGAGTCTCGAGGCACTTCATAAACTTGTATGTGTCCTTAGGCAAGATCTGAATGTGTGGGCAGGTAATTATCACATTGTTAACACTAAAAACTATATACACAGACACCCACATCATGAAAACCTGCCTTAATTATGGAGACCGAAATCAGGTCTCCTTTATAATCCTTTATAATTAGAACATGATTTAAAGTTAAGATAGAAGTTAGAATGTTTATGTTAGGCAAGTAATGATTGATGTTTAAAACACAAATCCTGCATATTTAGGCTGAGTTCTGTTCCACCTTTTGATGTTATGTGTGTGTCATTTGGATAATTTCAGCTCTGGATCTCGACTGAACAAAAGGTAAACGGTAGCTGTTAACCTGAAAACTATACTGCTTCATGACATCACAAAGTGAAACTGAGCATTTTGAGCTTCGGAGATATAAATAGATTAATAATAGAGTTACTCAAACATGTACGAATAAAACTAAACACAACTCCAGCTTTGTTTTTGGTGAAGTAACAACAGCATTATAACACGGATAAAAGCTGACAAGAGTCAATTCTAAGTACTATAGGACTTTTAAAATAGTAAATCAAAAACAAATCATCACCTCTTCAAGTAATTTCCTCTCTTTGTCTTTCAGCCAATCATAAGCAAGAACTACAAGACTCCCAAATGGTATGTGTATTGCCACAGTATAACACACTGTAACAGATGTGGTTTGAAAGTGAAAGTGAAATAAGCAAACTAATAATGCAGTCAATAACATTTTGAATCAATAAATCAGCATTATGTTGAGTTAAGTCACTGTCCAAAATGCAGTAACAAACAGACAGCAGCCAACTTCTGCTTTATTTCAAATTGTGCAACCCCTCACTGAAAACTAGTGCTGACTACATTCACTGATGACAAAATAACAAAATAATAAAATAAAACAGCATATATACTAACCCAGATGCCCCGGTTTGTAGATGAGCCGGAGTAAAAACCATAGGAGCAGCGTTTGTGAGCAGAAGTTGAATGGTGAAAGTAACTAGTCGAGTCTCGCTCATAGTTCGTGAATGAATGAGGAAGGAAAGAGAGACAGAGAGAAGTGCTGCAGGAGAGAGAGTGGTTTGGAAACTAGTATCACAGGCTTGTTTAACCATAAATGCAAATACTATAATCATTTTTGTGAACCGAATGAGTCATTGTGTGCTTTATTAAAAGGTGCACTCTGCAACTGTGTGCAAATAAATGTGGAAATAAATCTAGTAGTCATAATGGACACAGGTTATTGGTCAGATCTATGGAAAAGCAGGCCTGTACTTGGCAAGAATTCACATTTTTAACATTCCCATGGAGACAAGCAAGCAACAGACCCTTCAGCTTAGAAGTTACACAATGCACCTTTAACTGATGCTCAAATAAATAAATAAATAAATACAAGCAATATCAAAAGTACAGATATTACTGTTCATGCTTTAGTCCATATTTTAATTTGATAAAAGAGAGATAGATAGAATGGGTATAAAGTCTACTTATTTGACTAAATTATAATTCGTATTTCTCTAGAAAGGCATACCTCAGATTTTGAATCAAGAAGGTTGCAGCTGATCAATTAAAATATAAGCAGATAACCACTACCAAGTTATTAATTCAATGATATTGCAATAAAAACATGCACACATTTGAATGAATCACCTACTATTACTTTGCAGAACTGACTACAGGCATCTACAGTAAATTAATGGCTCTCTGTAGTTCCTAATATGGTGAAAACTGAGATTGTAGACACACAGACAGTCAGACAGACAGCCAAAGCGGGTCTGACCCCAAACCAAAACCACAAACACAGGTCTGAGATGCAGAAACAGCAGTTCTGATCAAAGCCTGTTTTTAGTGACATCACACAGGAAGGAGGAAGTAGCTTTTACTGACAATGCTGCTCAACAAGTTTCTATCACATTTGCTCTTGTTGATGAGTGTGTGAGATCTGAATGGGGTCATGTACAGTGGTGGATGAAGTACTCAGTTTTGTTACTTAAAGGTGCACTGTGTAACTTTTTGGTTGAGGGTCCGTCACCTGCTTGTTTCTATGGATATGTCCTGGATCTGCCTGTAATGTTCCACAGTATGACATTAAACACCTTCATTTATTCAATTACAGGTGGTTTTACAGCTCAGAAATACCTAGAAAAACAGGTATTCTCATTGTGAGTGGAGTTGCTTCTCCACAGATCTGTAACTTGGTCTGGCTTGGTCTCCATGAAGATAGAAAAGTTTAATGCCATACTGTGACATATTATAGACAAAGCAATAACATCTCCATGAAGAAAAGAATTTGACAGACGCGCCGGGCGGGGGTCACCTCCGGGGTGTAAATCAGTGTAGGATCACCACTAACTCTACTCTACTTTACTCTACTCTTCTTACTCTGTTCTAGGCAAGACAAGCCAAGACAAATACATAGAGAGGATTGTGGTTTATGTTAAACATTAATCTGTAAACTACAAATTTTATATTTTATGGGTAGACACAGAAAGTACATTTATCTGGGGGGCAAGACTAGACTGAAATTAAACTTGAATTAATGGTCGCTATTTTAATAATCCTTGGGGTCTTGTATAATTTTCACTTAATTTTTGTAATAATTGTTTGACCTTCTGAATATTACTGTCATATCATGGTGGAGGACAACAGGATGTTGTATATTTTATGAATGATGGGGGTTCACAGCCTCAAATGCAGGCCTCGCCTCTCCACAGATATGAGCTGTAATTTGGCCTAGTGACATCACCTACTGGTCTCCACACTCATGGTGATAAGTCATACTGTAATTCTATAATAATCTAAACAAGAAAAGTTTCATAGTCTACCTTTACTTATTAAACAAAATTGAGCAGAATGATCATCTCTCATCAAAATTCATTACACTCATATTTTAACTATACAGGCCAGACACAGGAACACCCTTCACAAGGACTTAGTCACTGACATGGAACCAAGTGTCATTCTTTCAGGTCAATTTAGAGACACTACATCAGCCTCAGAAAAACACACACACACACACGCACACGCACACGCACACGCACACACACACACACACACACACACACACACACACACACACACACACACACACACACACACACACAATAACAGAGGACCTGCAGCTCACAGACAAAAGCACCAATCTCTCCACATAGCAGTCTAAGTGTATCTTCACCTCACAGTGTCGGTTTAAAAGTGCACTGTGTAACTTTTCTGGTTGAGGGTCCATCACCTGCTTGGTTCTATGGATATGTCAGGAAAGTTTTCCATAGTATTTTTGAGCAGTGAAACACCTGTAATTGAATAAATGCAACATTGATGGGTTTAATGCCATACTGTGAAAACTTTCAGACAAAGCAATAATATCTCCATGGAAGCAAGTTTATGGTGGACCGCTACCAGAAAAGTTGCACACTGCACCTTTACGTTTATTGTGAAAGTGAAATAATTTCAATATTATCATTTATTGTGACATTTTCAGATTCTATATATCATCACATTCCATGATTTGTTATCGTGGCAGACCTACTTTTGATTAGTTTGCATGGCTCTAATCCTGCATACTTTCACATCGTGTAAGTCAAGTTTGCAACATGCAATATAAATGTAATTATTATCACTATTCCAACATATCTTCACAGTGTTAGCCTTTAGGTGCATAAAGACCTTTTGCAGGCTTTGATTTGTCCAGAGCCTGAGGCCACACAAACTGTAGACACGTCAGCAGATTTCCAGGCCACTGCTAAATCATAACCCTATAATTTGCAAATACATTCACCGCAACTTGTCCTGTTATTAACATAGAAAAAAACACATTTTCAGTTTCGACAATGGTACATGTGAAGCAGAGATGACCCCATGCACTGAAACAACAACTTAACACTGCAACATGAAATAGTGTTTTTACAACTTCATTATAAAAAAAAACTAAATCAAATCTTTAGTTTAGTCAGAATACTCACCCTAATCTTGCTTCTTCTGTCCTACGCAGAAGACCCAACCGACTACATACAACTTAGAAGTGCTGGTTTTAAGTCCTGAGTCTTTGGTTTTCGTTTACCTGCTAAGATTTGATTTCACCCCCTTTCTCTCTCCCTCGCTCTCCCTCTCTCCTTTCCTCTTCACCCTCTTTTGGGGCAGGTCTTAGCAGGCTGCCTCATTCCACAAACTATCCTGTGATGGAGCAACTGTACATGTCCCGGCAGGTTCAAATTAGACTGTCCCTTTAAATGTTCAGTTTACAAAGTGTGCGGATGCTCTAGTAGTGGCTGCATGCAGAGGGGTCAGGCTTAGACAAGTAGAGTCTT